TATTACACAGTGACAGTCCTGTCCCCAGCAGTACTATACCCCAGTGCAGCACTGCGGCAAACCTGTCTACAGCAGGAAATCACTCCAGCCTTATATATAGACAGACCTGTACCATCAGTCCTGTATACCAGTTGTAAATATTAATCGACCTATCCCTGCCAATTCTGTTCACCAGTGTTATGAAGTTAAAGCTCTCCCGAGCAGTGCTATATCTAAGGGTTACGTAGTAAGAGATCACTCGTCACATCTACTGTACAACAGCATTATTCACAGACAGAAATATTCCCACCAGTACATTCCCACCAGTTCCAACATGCTACTCACAGACTGACCTGTTCCCAAAAGTACAGTACCCCAGTGTTATACAGTTACAGACCTGACCCCACCAGTAGAGTACCCCAGGGTTATACAGTGACAGGTCTGTCCCAACAGCACAGTAAACCAGAGTTATATAGTAACAGGCCTTTCCCACTACTACTGTACTGAGAGATATACAGTACAGGCCTTTCCCCACCTGTACTATGCCTTAGTGTTTTCAAGTTACAGAACTGAGCCCCTCATTACTGTACAGCCATCTTTTTAACAGACAGAACTGTCCCCACCATTTCAGTTCTCCAATGTTATAGAGTAATAGATCTCCACCAGCAGTACTGTATCTCAGTATTATCGAGCGCCTGATCTGACCGCATCAGTACTGCACCCCCAGTGTAAATATTGATGGACCAGTCCCTGCCAGTACTGTTATCCTCTGTTACACATTGAGATCTCTCCCCAGGTATGCTGTATGACAGTATTACAAAGTGACAGAACTCTCCCCACCAGTACTGTAACACTGTGTTATACAGAAGCAGATCTGTACTGACAATACTGTAGCCTAGTGTTAAACAGTGTCAGAGCAGTCCCCTGCAACAGTGTACCCCAGTGTTATAGAGCGATGAACATTTCCCCACCAGTACTTCACCCCATTGTTAGACAATGTCAAATTTGTCACCAACATTACTGTTACCCAGTGGTGCACAGTGACAGATCTCTCCCCATCATTACTGTGCCTTAGTGTTATACAGCGACAAACCTCTGCCAACAAGTACTGTGGTGCAGTGTTTCTCACGGACAGACCTGTCCCTACCAGTACTGTACCCTCGTGTTAGACAGCATCCAATCCGTCCCCACGAGTAATGAACCGCAGTTTTACACTGACAGATCGGTCCCCACCAGGACAGCATCTCAAAGTTAAACAGTGACAGTCCTGTCCTCACCAATACTGTACCCCAGTGGTACACAGTTACAGTCCTGTATCCAGCAGTACTGTACCCCAATGTTACACAGAGACGGACCTTTCCCCATGATTACTGTGCATCGGTGTATTACAGTGACAGACCTGCCCGATTAGTACTGTACCTTAGAGTTATACAGCAATAGACCTGTCCCCACTGATACTATACCTCAGCATTACACAGTGACAGTCCTGTCCCCAGCAGTAGTGTACCCCAATGCAATATTGTGGCAGACCTGTCTACAGCAGCACAGCACCCCAGTCTTATATACTGACAGACCTCTACCATCAGTCCTGTACCACAGTTGTAAATATTCATCAAACTGTCCCTGCCAATTCTGTTTGCCAGTGTTATGTAGTTAAAGCTCTCCCGAGCAGTGCTATATGTAAGGGTTACATAGTGAGAGATCACTTGTCACAACTACTGTACCACAGTGTTATTCACAGACAGAAATATTCCCACCAGCACTGTACCACCGTGTTACGCAGCGACAGAACACTCCTCACAAGTACTGTAGTTCAATGTTTCTCACAGACAGACCTGTCCCTACCAGTACTGTACACCAGTGTTAGACAGCATCCAATCTGTCCCCACCAGTAATGTACCACAGAGTTATGTACTGACAGATCGGTCCCTATCGTAACTCCTTTGCAGTGTTAAACATTGACAGTCCTGACCTCACGATTGCTGTGCCCCATTATTACACAGTGACAATACGTCCCCACCAGTAATGTTTCTCACTGCTAAAACAGTTACAATCCTGTCCCATATCTTTGTTTTATACAGCAATAGACATTTCCACACCTGTACTATACCCCAGTGTTACGCAGTGACAGATCTGTCCCCAGAAGCACAGTACCTCAATGTTATACAGAAACAGATCTGTCCACACCAGTACAATGCCCCACGGTTATACAATGACGGGCCTGTCCCCATCAGCACAGTAAACCAGTGCTAGATAGTAACTATCTTTTTCCACTACTACTGTACCGAGAGATATACAGTACAGATGTATCCCCACCAGTACTGTACCTCAGTATTATACAGTTACAGACCTGACCCCCTCATTACTGTACAATCATCTTTTTAACACACACCAATCTTATTCAATGACAGACCTGTCCCAGCAGCAGTGTAGACCATTCTTATACAGTGACATACCTTCCAATCAGTCCTGTAACACGGTTGTAAACATTGATTCATCTGTCCCTGCCAGTACTGTTCTCCAGTATTAAAAAGTTAAAGCTTCTCCAGCAGTGCTCTACATAAGGGTTACATAGTGACAGATCATCCCACACAAGTACTGTACCGCCATGTTACTCCCAGACAG